TTATATTGTGGGCAGGGTCATTGGCTTTCATCATATATAAAGCCTTGATGGGAATGGCCGTGTCTTGATATTGAGAAAACCCTATTCTCTTACCACATCCATTTGGATGTTAACATCCTTGGCCTTTTGAAGGAGAAAGCCATTACTATTCAGGCCATAAAAGATTTTGGCAAAAATCAAGATATGTGTCCATAGACCATGCTTGTATGATTTGCCCTTATTTTCTGATAGTGTTGGCCTGTCGGAGGATATGTCCATTACTTCTATGTGGTTCATAAGGGAATCAATGGAGAGGTAAAACATGCACTTCAGAACAGCCTGGGTTTTTACATTCCACACCCAGAAATCATTTACCATTGGCCTGAACTACACTGACATAGTGGAGTCCACTTTTCTGGCCTTAGCACTCTGCTGTTTCTTAGTGATAAACTGGTATAAAAGTCATTTACTCTTATATGGTGGGGACACAACAGACACTAGCCTCCCATTTGTGGTAGGTGTTGGGGAAGAGGTATGATTTAGTGATACACCCACTAGCACATTTTGTGTAGAATGGAATTTGATCACAAAAATACAATATAACGCAAAATCTACCCTAATAGAAGTCTGGAAGGAGGAATTAAGTTGCAGTGAGAAAGAAATAGACAATTGGATGAATTCAATCAATAAAATAAAACATCTAAAGATTAAAGAAATGCAATGGAAAATACTGACAAAATGATACAAAACTCCTGTGCAATTGACACATATTATGAAAATGTGCCCAAAATTATGTTGGCACAACTGTGGAAAAACGGGAACATACACCCATATGTGGTGGGAATACGAAAAAATACAAAAGTTCCATGAAATAATCAGGAAGGAAATGGAGGAGCTATTAGGGATAAATATAGAATGGAACAAGGCTCAATTTTTCACCCAGAAATTGGAAAGTAAATGGGAATATAAAGAATGTGAGCAAATAATAAAACACATGATAGAGGTAATCAAATCCTCAGTGGCCCTAGGTTGGAAGGACCACAAGAAATGGGATGTAAAAATTTAGTATAAATATCTAGCCGATTACCTACTCCAAGATTATATTAGCAAAAGAAAAAGTTACTATAGGACGGGCCAAATCAGAAGGACATGGGAAGCAATCTGGAAGGGTCTTATTTACAGGATAAAGGGGAAAGATAAATATACGGTGTTAAATAAGACTGTCCTCATGACTGAACAATTGTAATAAACAGAGCAAAAGAGGTTAACTGTTCCTGGGTGGGAGGTGGGGGGTTGTGGTGGTGGTGGGATTGGGGAAAATACTGGTATTTTGACTGTTAATTTAGAAGATTGTATGTTTCTATGTATTATACAATA